GTAATTAAAGATTTTTGCTGTGGCATTATGACACTCTTGTTATCATTAGCTTTGCCTTGTTTGGGCTTGGCACCATATGTGTTCCAACAATTGTCTCTGTTGATTTTGGGAAATGAAATAGCGTCATCATAACTTACGTGCTGTCCATTTGGTCCATTTCCTTTCACTGGTATTGTTGTGTTCAGCCCCAATTCTGATTCAAGCACAAACATTCGGTCTTGAAGAAGTTTTAGCTCCTGTTTGAGTGAAAAACAGCCGTCGCAAAGTTTTGTTCTATTTTCCCGTCCTCCCGACATGCTGTAAGTTAGGTAAATTCCACCAGTCTTGTGTTGAAGTTTGTAAAAAGGAGTAATCCGTGTTTTGTGGAATAAAAATGTAAGCAAAAATGATTAAAGGAGATAAAAAAGCAGCAAGCGAGGAGCAGCAAGAGAATGCGACTGCTCTGTCCAGAGTGATGTGGACAATAGCATAGCATAAAAAAAAACAAGAGACAGGACTTTCATTTATTGAAACTTGCCATGAAAGTGTTAATCGGAAACAATTAAGACTCGAGCCACTGCTTCTAGTGCTGGTGATGAGAGAAACAACAGATGAACACACAGCAGTCAATCCCATGGTATAATTTGTGTAGTCATAGTCATAGATACAGTATACAATGAGTTCTAAATGGCAGACAATTATGTATTTTTGCGGAAGTTACATGATTTGCTTTCAAACGGAGTATTCTCTAATTCTCTTTGCAGTCATCTGCCTAATTAAACGATGAATAGCTTATTATTACCTTTGCTAACGTTCTCGAGTGGACCTAATGTTGTTTACTGCTGTTTCCCAGTGCCAGCTTCCAGTTTGGTTCATGCACACAACACCATCCATCATTTCTATCTATTCCCCATTCCCCTCCTCATCATGAAGAGGGTAACCATGGAAACGCTGCACAAGTAAGACCAAACAGACTTTGTAAGCTATCCATATTTTTCTCCTGATGTGCAACACCTGCTTTACTGTTTTCTGGACGAATGGCACTCCACATTACACTGGACTTTTTGAACATTTACCAAGTTTGCCAAGGTTTGCAGGTCTCCATGGAGCCAAACACAAAAAAACGTAACTAATATGTGACATCACAGCAATGGTATAGATAGATATCCGTTTACACTGATTATATAGTGCCAGTCTGTGACCTGTGCAGAGAAGACCCGCAATTTCTTCCTGATCTACCAATCAGGGAGAAGCATAATGAACTGTGTTATAGTGGTATTAGATGCAACGCTTCCCTAGTCAAAAAAAAAAAAGCATATTTATCATATTTAATCATTTAAGTAATTACGATGAAAAATATGTGTTGCATGCAGGTACAAAGATTTAACGTGGTTACATTTCCTGACATTATTAACATATATACAGCAACACTCGGTACTCTTGCGCAGGTATTCCAATAGGGTTTTACTGCATTTGTCAAAAATCTGTTTCTAGTTGTATGCGTGCAATATCGACCAGATATGCCTGATTACTAAGGATATACAGTACTAAATAATCACTGTGGCAAAATCTGTCCAATAGCGGCATTTGACCCATCGTTCAATGCCACTATAGGATAACTAGTGGAATCAACTGTGTTATTTTTCCTCATGGCAAATGTTTTTTTTTCTCTATAAAACCATTGGAGAATCTTAAAACGACTAAATACCTCAAGGCTTATTTAGTTTTCAGGATTGTGGGTAATAACCACACACAATTCACCCATGATGGCAACCAAAATACTATGAGAAATATGAGTTGCAAGCAGGTACACCCATTCCTAATATGAGGCTACAATTCCTGATATTATTAACATTTATTCAGTAAACTTATCAGAACTCCATCCACCACTGAGAATAACAAAAGCTGCAGTGTGTGATGTCAATCTGGCAACCACCCTTTCTGCCATGCTGTATATTGTTTTTATGGATTTTGAGTGTCATTACAAAACCCCAGCTCTGCCAGTGGGCGACCGCAGGGGATATAAAATACAGAGCAGTTCTATATGAGCATGGGGTAAGACATCCGTGTGCACCATTTGGAGAGTTTCCGAGCTGCAGTTATAGCAACATGGCTGACATTATCTACGCTCACACACACACACTTTTATGGCTAACACTCGGCTCGGAAGATCTAATTATTGAGGGAAAAGTCGGAGTAATGTCACATGAATCATAATAATGTACAATCATGGATGTTTGTAGTTTGGGCCATATGAGAAAAAATAAATTTGATTGGATTGTTTTGTGGTGTAGCATTAACAAGGCAAAGGGGATTTTATCGGTATAGCAGTTCCTACATCTGCACACAAGCCATTCAAATCATGAATAATTGTTAAAAAGAGGGTGAAGTTACAATCCTTCAGTTGTATGCACAGCTAAACAAACATGTTTTAACCTGGATTTCAACATTGTCTGGGTAGAAGTCTGTCTCACATTTTCAGGAAAACTGTTCCAGATTCGATAAAAAAGTGTCATTGTCGCTTTAAAAACATGCATTCACGAGGTCGGCTTCCTATTGGTCTGACCTGTTACCGGCTGCAAGGAATATATAAATATATTTAAGTTTGAACTTGTACTGACGCCAAATAAATTATCCAAGGAGACAATCAGCCCCTTTCGAAAATATTGCGTATAGAGCACTTTGATATTGGCTCTCTTGCAGAATTCACTGGTGATGTGAGAGAAGAAAGACTGTTCCTGTAAACAACTATCTTTATTTATTCTAAAAATAGTTAAATAGTCCCGAAAATCTTAAAATAGTCCAATAGATTATATTATGGTTATGTTGCCAATCATAATGTGTATATATATCCATCTACATCCTTTTCTATGTGCAGCATTATTTTTTATTGTCATCCGACGTAAAGCCTTAATCTGTATTGTTTGTCCCACAAGAAAGGGTTTTGAAAATGTAAAATTGTAAAATGTTGAACAAATAAGACCACAACCTTCTGTTTTCATCTCAGTAGAAAACATGTTAGCTCCCTGTCAGCCACTAATTGGTGATTTTGACGAAGAGCTGATTGGCCGAGTGAGGCTCTTTTTCACTTTTCAGAGCTGAAATATAGATGTGAGAGAGGACAATAATACATGCATGTGCAAACTAAGGATAGAACCCAACTGTTTTGAAAAGCTGCCGTTAACATGGACTGTAGTATATGGTTGTTTTTTTTGATTGAAAGTTGGTTACCCCCGCAGAACTTTTACCTTAGTACTTATATCCCCTTTACGCCTTCCAGTGCTGGTTCCCAAGGCAACAAATATATTAAGTAACCATTAATCTTCCAATCTCCTAAATCTCCCATTTATAACTCAACATTTGAACGTGGCCACTTGTATCCTCTGTCACTGCTTTTGCCCATTCTTGTACTGCCACCTAAAGGTCCAAGGAAGAAACACACATGCAGTCACTAGTACCTGCTGTTATATATTTATTTGTACAGGTTTATCAAATGATGTATTTTACAGTGTGCAAATATAATTGTGAATTAAACCTTGGCCCGCTCTTTAATGCCTTTTAAAGCATATGCACTGGTTCAGTCATTATCGGCATGTTGAACGGGTAGTGAGATGGAACTTGAATGTCACGTTCTCCCAGTCTTTACAGGAGCCTGCTGAGCGCTCACATCGTTCACATTCACACACAATCCAAACAGTGTGTGAGTGTATTAAGTGATTTGACATTTCCCTAAGGTCGTTTTACCAGCAAGAGCCCCTTTTTAATAATGGTAACTCAACCTAATGGTATTTTAATCGAGGGTGTGTGGCAAAAAAGAACACGCAAAAGCAGAACACCCATAGCTGTCAGTTTAACCAGGATAAAACGTGCAATTACTGCTGCTATATTCAAAATGTCATTACAATACAATATGCAAATCATATCGTACAGTTGAATGGTTGGTGGTGCTTTGAAGGGAAATGGATTTTGGAGCAATCAATACACATTAAACAATGTGGTGTGTCAACAGATATTTTGGCTTCCTTCTTGTACTAATAGTTTTTATGACTAATTTGACTTTGATTTTGATAACTTCTTTGCATACGGCACTTTTGCTACTGCATTATTGCTTTATTTTTGTTGCTGGTGAGGGAAGGGATAAAAGGAAGATCATTCATCAGAAAGCATTCAAATAAGACAATCTTTAAAATCAAAACTTTGGCATTACATTCATTCAAGGCACCCTGATACTATGGCTTTGACACGTATAGTTTGTAGAATCAAAATATAAGTCATCTTTAAAAATGCTGGTGAAGATAAGTGCATTATATCAATCTTTATACACATAAACACAGTACATTACTGTCATATCTGACATTTTGCAAATTTCATGTCTATCTGCTGGATAGAATTATGTTTATAAATTAGATAAAGCTGTCACTATTTTACACTTTCTAAGCATCACAGTGATTTTTGAAAATTCATGCAATCAGCAAATCAGCAAATACCATACCTTTATAAATAATAATATCTTGTAAGAGTTTTGTTGATGCTTTGCTATGCCCAGTAACATAAAATCAGGTGGTCCTAGGTTCCAGACCTCCACCAGAGCCTGTACAAGTGAAACCCGTAAAATTAGAATATCATTCAAAAGTCATAATTTTTCTGTAATAAAACTTACATTTTGAAACCAATATATGACAAGCCTCTTATAATTCTGATGATTAAGGCTTACAGTCCATTTTATTTAGGTTAAAATTATTTATTATTTTACAAGCTGTGAGCCAGTTATCAACTTACATGAAAGAAATAACGGCTCGATAAATTTCACTTTGCGTGTAAGACGCCTGTCATAGTTTGTGGTATTACAGAAGTAAATGGACTTTCAAACAATATTTTAACTCTCCAAGTTTCTCCTGTATGTATACACCTGTATACATGACATTATCTGACCATGAGTTAAAATTTATAAAAAGTTTTTTCATACACTTTTATATTTCACAGTTGAATAGTAGTCATATTTATGTACTATTAGGTCTTGTTTATTTTCCCGTTGCTTTTGTCATTCTCGAGTTGTGATGCTGAGCCACTCCATAGGGCACGTGAGCAGCGACCGTGCCCATTTCAGCCGCTCCTTCCACATGAAACATCTGATCATCAAAGTAAATGTGAGGCCGGATCTTCTCCAGTATGGGGCCCTTAGGAGCCCCGGCCAGGAACAGGGCCTCGTCGATCTCCAAGCCCCAGGCACGGAGGGTCTTCAGGGCCCGGATGCCCGAGCTGGCTGCACTGCGAGCCGTGACAAGAAAGGTGCGGATGGGGCAGTCCAGGCGATGGCCTTTGGCGTAGAACTTCTTCTGCAGTTTCCCCAGAGCCTCCAGGAAGCCTTTCAGAGGGCCCTGAGCAGAGAGACACTGTCACTGACAGGCCCTCAAGTTTACTTTACAATGTCAGGAGTTATTCATCATTTTTATGCTGATTGAGGTATGGTAAGCTACAGTATTGTCAGGATATGAGGTACACACATGCTTACAGTAACACAAGTTTGATTCTCTATTTTGATACATTTAGACATATTTGGTGAACAATATTCCCTTCATTTGAAGTTAACAGCTGAGCAGAGATACAACGTCTTCCAAGGACATGGTGTTGCTACTTTGTAGAACAGGACAATAGTTAGGCAGAAATGATCCAGCGTGGGAAGCTGCCCACCCTTGGCAGTGAAGAATAGAACTACAGCTACTATATCTGTTAGTGCACACTTTGTATTTATTAGTAGTGAAGACGGAGGAAGACTACTTGGTTGAACTCTGTATTAGCCCCGTGGCCACGTAACTTCATAGATCTACAATAATGCCTGCTGGGGCATTAATATTTCACTTGTTCTGGCTAATTGTACAGTGCTTCCAACAACAAGCCTGGATGAGAGGAAATTAAGGTTCAACTTCTTTTCCTCTATAGTATGTTTTGTGTTTTGTGAATAGTGTCATGAATGCAAAATGAAGGACGGCAAAAATACAAGATTTCATAAACAAAAATAGCTAAATCAAGGACTCCAAACAGAACTCTAAAATCCAAAATCAAACAAGAGGAGATGAACACATGGTTTAAATACACACAAGGACAAACAGGTGAACCACATGAATGTTGTGTAGGAAATAAACTAAACAAACAGGAAGTAAAATTTAAAATATATCAAAATAAAACCCGGTAAAAGTAATCAAAAAGTCTACAAAATGACAAATGGGTTGTGTTCACATATGTCATTTTTGTTATCAATCTTTATTCTTCACTTGGATTACTATTCGTTCCCACAAGGTCTTCCTGGAGTCTACAAAAAGCGACAGTTACATTTCAGTATGTTTTGTTCTGTGAAGAGGAACACTACAGCTACACTCACACCAATGGTGTAGGTTTGGTTCCAATCTTGGTGGGGACATTCACTACGACCTGAGTCTACACCCATTGACACGGGGTCCAGAGTTTCTCCCCCAGAATTTGTTGTGTGATCACACACTATATTTGCAATAGTGTGTTGCCTTCTATACTAAACTCAGCTGTAGACTGAATGAGAAGCAGTTAAGGATTTTTTCTAATAGTTAAAACAAAATCAATTGGATCAGAGCTTCTGAGTTTTGTGTTGCGTTCATTCTATACTGACTTAAACCTAATCCAAATCTACATAATAGCCCTCACCTGAGGCTCTAACAGTTCAGGAACTGCTCTCGATACTTGAAATAAATCATGCTCTGATCTTTCAATTTCCTATAATAAATAAAAACAGAGGAGAAAATATTGAATTAGAATCTACAGTGAGTAGCTCACTACATTGTTTGACATATACGATCAATCTCTAAAAACAATTCATAGTCCCATGCATACCTACAAAATTCCAACCTCGCCTGATGCACTGAAGGGCCTGTTGCTTCTACCTCAACATTCCCTATATTGTTCTCTTTTGTTGGTTGAGTTTCCTATGTATGTTAACAGAAGATTAATCATCACAATTCATAATTTGCTATTACTTGTGCTTTCTCTTACTTACTTTCCAACTGTTAAAAAAGCTCCTGATATCTTTTATCTTTTTTTGTGGAGGTGGCATTTTTTCTAAATTATATAAGAAGGTATAGACAATCAAAAACAGACATTCATATACATGAACTGCAGAATCATTTATATAACTTGGCCAATGTCAAAAGTTACATAGTATTTCTCAATACAATGAGTTAACAAGAGTTTGGCAATAAGTAACAGTGTGGATTTTTCTATATTTTCTTTTTTTTAATTCCACTCTCAACCCAAAAAGGCAACTAATGACTCACAGGGCTCTCAAGTATGCAAAATAAAAACTTAAATGACCTGTTGTGGTGTGTTTTGCGCACAACCAGCATGCATCGTTAACGCAATGGAAAATTTAGGTATCCGAGCTTTAATTTCGGAAGCGCTGGTTGCGCTTTGGGAAGAGTCAGGGGAGAGACATGTCAGAGACACAGGGGAGAAACGGGGGAGATACGAGGGAGACCCGCACTTGCAACATGGTTCTGTCTGCATATGGTCCGAGCTCGGTACCATGTTAGAGCTGTGCTTTCACTGAGCGCCGCGGCTGTCATTACAAAGCGGCAGCAGCTGCACCAGGACGTGCACATTCGAGTGCATCGCTTGAATGTGCTTAGAGCAAATAACAGCAAGTGCCCGCTGTCACACATTTCACAGAAATTACATTATCAGCAGATAAAGGTTGTAAATCGTGGATCCGTGGAATATTTTCATCCCTAGTTTATCCTGATTCACACAACACACCCACTTATACATTTTGGATAGTAAGAGCACAATAAGTATTTTTTCAGCCTTTCAACCAACCTGTTTCTTTATTGGAGCCAGTTCTGTTCTGTCTCTGTGCCGTGTGAGCTCCTCGGAACATTAAACAGTGCGCTGACAGATTAGAAATAACGTAAGTACTTTGAATGGTAATGGATCTACAGTACTTTCCTCTGATTACTCACGTGCTACAACGCTCAGGGAACGAAAAAAAACACTTGCTTCACGCTGGCTAACTTTTAAAAATTAAACAGTCGCTCAGTGCTTCAGTTTGGCGCTGAAGAAGACAGCCAATCACTGCAGAGAACGGAACGGGTCACGTGCTGCTGCTGCTGCTGTTGCTCTGGAGGCGAGGAGGAGGCGCGACGTGTGCACAAACGGAAGACATGTGTCCCGGACCGTCCGGGTCACGGGCAGTGGCGGAGCCAGACTCTTAAACAGAGGGTGGCCAGGGTTTTTTTGAGGGGTCCACATTTATACTATTCCGAAATTTTATTTCGCACAAAAACTGGCTAAACGATACATTTTAATCTTAATCTTGTCATTATTTTTAATATAAAGTGAACTGAGAGCACACTTGGAAACTCCATCCATCCATCCATCCATCTTCTACCCTTTAATCCATTTCTGGGTCAGGGGGGTGGCAATCAGAGATGCCACCCAAGTCTCATAGCACCAGCCCCTCACTGACCCTCTGCAGGTGGTGAGTCCACAGGAGGACGGCTGCTCTCTGAGTGTGAGCATAGCCTTGATCTTTCAGTGGGGGCTTATGGCAAAGTGGGGTTAAGTGTCTTGCCCAAGGACACAACGACAGCAGTCATCAGTGGGAGTCGGTGGAGAAGGTGCAGAGGTGGGAATTGAACCCACAACCTTCTGGCCATAAGGCCAATGCTCTACCAACTGAGCTACTGTCGCCCCATGCACTTGGAAACTACAAAGCAAAAAAAAAAAAGTGTATTTAAAATAGTAGTCTGAACAAAAAAAGTGCAAAATAACATCATTCAAACATTGCATTACATTTTTTCTTTTAACAAATTTAGCAAATTCCTACGGTTCTGGTGTAAAGCAGCAAAGATGTTGACAAACTCATCCATATTCAGCCCTGAGCCCTCCTTTACCCTACACTGAGGATACCAAGATGACTCAATCATCTGCCATAGTTCTGAGATGGTTTTTAATAAGTTTTAGGACAGAGAAACTTATTTCACAAGACGCAGTACTGACAGGTATTAAAAAGATCTTTGCAAGCCTCAAAAAAAAGCTCATGAAACACTTTCCAAACGTTCCCCGTTTTGGGGTTAAGCAACTGCACATCATCCATAATCTTAGCTATTTTGTTTCTTTTTTTGTGTGTGAAAAAACGCCTTCTGCCAACAGACGATCCTGCACCTGTCTGCGACACCCTCTCATTCTCTGAAACTCAATTATATAAGCTATATTTTAATACAACACAACAAATTCCTCATCATCTTAAAACATACTGCCTCAGAGTCTGACCTTCAGGCTGATCTACAAGCCTTTTCCTAACAAAAAAAGGCCTGTAGGCAATGTTTCCTCCTTTTCTTTTAATGTTTAGACTAAAGGGAAGAGGGCGATGATACGATGGGCAATTAATAATGGAAAATAAACACGCATGCACCCCGCACGCACACACACACAGGCACGCACACACGCACACAGGCACGCACACACACACAGGCACGCAGACCCACACTGGCACACACAGGCACGCACACACACGCAGACACACAGGCACGCACACACACACAGGCACGCAGACCCACACTGGCACACACAGGCACGCACACACACGCAGACACACTGGCACGCTGACACACGCACACAGGCGCGCATACAGGCGCGCATACAGGCACGCACACAGGCACGCACACACACATACACACACTAAAAGTTCGACAAACTGAACAAGTAATGCGCTGCAGTACGTGTGTCTATACTTTGTGTCAAATGTAAACGGTTGGCTCTGCATCGCTAACTTACCTCTTTGTTTTCATCACGACTTGGGCACACCTGAGTCCAACAACCCAAAACATTAGCATACAGCACCGGCTCCACGGAGTCAAGGTGCGTTCACAGTCGGGGGAAACCGTGGGAATTTTTAGCTTTTGCCGGAAAAAGTGCGGAAGATTCTCAAGATTATTACATTGCCGTCTTCCGAGGGGGGCACTGGGGGTGGCAAGGATATTTTTAGAGGTGGCAGTGGCCACCCTGGCTACCCCTCTGGCTCCGCCACTGGTCACGGGACATCATGTCATTTTGGTGGGGACTTTTTAGTCCTCACCAAATATTGGTGGGGACATGTCCCCATGGTCCCCACGCAAACCTACGCCCTTGACTCACACAGATCACTGACGTCAGTTTTCTGATTGCCGGCATCACACACCACACTCCGGGTTTTTCTTACGTTCTTCATCAATTTAATTTCCTGTATCTGTTAAATGTGGAGGATTCAGCTGCCTCATGCTGCGATTTTTGGGAAAAACATGACCGTATCACATCTTGGTCTGGAGCTTTCCGAAGCTCCATCAAAGAGGCGGGGCTGTGGGACAAAGGGAGGCCAAAGGAGAAGGTATGTGATAGTTTCTTTTATAATACTGTCTAGCTCAATAGCTCAATCTGAAGATTTAATATGAGTTATGTATTTAATGAACAGCCACAGGGGTCTAGAATTGAATTATGTCCCCTTTAAGGTTGACCTCAACTGAAGCTCAAAGACCAGAAACAGAAAAGGCGAAGAAGCAAATATTTCTTGGCATTTCTGGAAAAAGGGTCCAGAAATATTGCTGGGATTTAAAACTTCTTCTACATCCAATGGTTGTGGTGTAACTGTACGTACGTGATCCAGAAGCGTGTCTTCGTTGTCTTTCTCATGTTCGAAAAACTTGTCGAGTCCGTGCGCTTTGAAGATGCGCTCGGACTCATCGGAGAAGAGGACGGCATCTCCATCAAAGGCCACCCTCAGCTGGGACTCAGACACCTCAGTCAGCTTCTCTGCCACAAACATGGTTGCCGCGGCGATGCCTAGATACAAAGAGAGAGACACATCTGTAGAGTAAGAACATCAAGGGGTGGATTAAATGTTTAAGCTATAAGGAAGGACAAAGCAATAAGAGCAATGGTGTATTTTGGATGTAAAATAGAAAAAAAGTTTTTAGTTCTAGTATATTCAAGTCGGTGATGTACAGACTGTTGTCATACCCAAAATCACAAGATAGAGAAGTCTGTTCTCCTTCTGTACAGTTTAAACTTGGAAGATCATTCAGCTCATTTTTAAAGTGAGACTGAGATGTGATGTGATATAGACTGATAACATGCAGAGGGACATACAGTATGCCAGGTATTTGTTTGTTATGATTTTCAAATATGTTCAAATGAGTGTTATTGAGGGTTTTTCAAGCTGCCAAAATTCTTTGTTTGTCTGAGTCTGTCAAATATTCGTTTCACATTGTGAGTTGAATTACAGAAGTATAGGAACTAAAAGAGTACCTACAGAGCAAAAACAGCAGAGATTCAGAGAGTTTTCTGAATTTCTGTTGTTTGTTACAGTGCAGCGAAGTAGAGGGCACTAATGATTTGATTTGGACAAAGCAGCTCCAGTGGAAAATCAAAGTGCACAATGTGACTCAGGCTCGGATCAGTCTGAGGACCACAAACAGCAGGTCCTCGTAACAGCCACATTAAATCACCGCACTCATAATGAAGGACTTTCATCTGAAATGTCAGGGCCCTGGCAGCGTTTCCGTGCTCATGCCAGTGTAAGTCGTGTGGATGGAGGGGTGGCATTCAGGGAAGCTGGGTATGAAGCCAGGTTCACTGACATCCTCAGTGAATATCTTTAATTAATGTGTTTGAAAAAAGTTCACACAATCTATCACACAAATGCAACATAGAGAATAAACTGAATATATCTCTTCTCTTCGGGGCGACAGTGGCTAGGTTGTAGGGGCCTGAAGGTCGTGGGTTCGACCGTAAGACCTACTTCAAGACACTTAACCCCACTTTGCCTGGAGCCCTCGCTGAAAGATCAAGGCTCCTGTGAACTCATCACCTGCAGGAGGATCAGTGAGGGGCTGGTGCTCTGTGAATTAGGTGCAGCGCTGACTGCCATCCCCCGGCCCGGAAATGTATTAAGGGGCAGAAAATGGATGGATGGATATCTCTTCTAGAGCAAGGGGCTAAAAGGTTCTGATCTTGGAAATGATTGCAAAAAAGAACTTACTTATTGTAATAACTTACTATAATCATAATCGTGATTTATGTGACTCTTTGACATAATAACCCCTTTAGTGGTTAAAGCCCCCAAACCCCTGTTCAATAATGGATTGTAATTGGTAAGTGAGTGACTGAACCTCTGTGATATAATACAAAAAACTTCCAAACGCCCAAAACTCCAAAACAACTAAATATGCTGAGTTTACTCCTGAGAACTTCTCTTTTAATCCTTATTTTCTTCTCTCTCCTTCTCCAATGTCTTATCCAGTTCATATCCACACTTTATTGTGACCTCTAAGAAAAACCATCTGATACCATTTCCTTGACAAAACCCTTCCTTTTCCAAACTCCATGCGCGTGGTGCAGTTCAACCAAAACAAATGGGATGTCTTGGGTGAATGGTGCTCCTCACACCAGACAGTCCGGGAATGCGTTAGAATTCTTCAAGGAAATACAAAGGAGACAGCTAAATAATCAATATGCTGATTTATGGTAATGTGGTGGTGCAGATGAAGAAGGTGTCTGTCAGTGCTCTCAAGGTGTTTGGGAGACGAGGCTTGCAGCTTGGTGGCCTACTGTAAACATGTCAAATATTATGAATGGTTTTATGTAGGATAATGGAGTAATCTCTTCCAACAGACTTTCAAACAACAGGAGTCGGTGTTCTTGCATAATAATGGTAAGACATTCATTTTTTAAAGTCATTTCGGTGCTCAAAGTTGCTTCTCTTGTTGTGAAACAATAAACACGTTCCCTTCACTGCATGAAGGTAATGCTTGAAAAATAAATGCATGAACACGATTTGGTTGAGCCACATTCATCCAGGAGGTTGTCATGAGAGTCTCAGAGAAGAGCAGCAAGTTGTTTGTTTTGCCCTGGAGTGGTGGTCTGAGAGGCAGGACAGTTATGCACTTCAGGCTTACTGGTCTGTCTCTTTTGGGAGTGTAAACAACAAAGAAATCTGAATGGACACGCACCTTCCAAGAAGACTCAAGAAGACTCACGTAGAAAATGTAAAAAAGTTCATAATGTCTTCTTTTATGTTTGAGGCTTAGAGGGTTCTTCTAATAAGACAAAAGGAAAGCTAGTACTGCTTAATTATCTGACATGGTGGCGCAGTGGAAACCGCTTGTGCTTCACCGTAAGATTTGTAGGTTTCCTCCGGGTATCAATCAATCAAAGTTTATTTATAAAGCGCTTTTCATACAACAGATGCAACACAAAGTGCTTTACAGTTTGGCTAAAAAACAATCCTGCCCATGCCCTCCCCCCGACCGCCCAACAGACCCTCCCCAGACCACAAGCAAACACCCCCCCCCCCCCCCCCCCCCCCCACACACACACACACACACACGCGCGCGCACACACACACACGCACCGATAAAACAATAAAACAATGATAAGAGACTTGGCAGGGTTCAGATGCAACCGGCTGAAGAAACGCCATCCAAGGAGCCGTCAGCGCCAGGAGCAGAGAGCCGCCCATAGCCAAAGGGGACGACACAGGACCCAGAGGAGACCCAAAACCGAGGCCCCGGGCCCCCACCAGGTCCAAGAGTCCGACCACCACAGCCACAGCCAACCACCGCTCCCAGCGCAGAGGGCTCCTCCAGAGGAAACACTGGGGATACTAAAAACAATACAATAAGTAAAACACTAAAATGTGAGCCTGAAAGGAACTATCACACAAAACATGAATAAAAGCAATAGCAATATAATATATAATAAAAGATAAATAGAATATATAAAAATGGACTAATAAATACTAATCAAAAGCTAATCTAAAAAGGTGTGTCTTGAGCCTGGCTTTAAAAATATGAATGTTCTCTGCGACCCTGAGCTCCTCCGGCAGACTGTTCCAGAGACGGGGGCCGTAGTGTTGGAAAGACGCCTCACCGTGAGTGTGTGTCCTGACTTTTGGAATGGTTAGGAGTCTGCTGCCGGAGGAGCGCAGGGGCCGGGAGGGTTCATAGGATAAAAGCAGTTCTGAAAGATAAGAAGGCCCAAGACCATTAAGACATTTGAAAACCATTAGGAGAACCTTAAAATCAATCCTGAAACACACGGGGAGCCAATGCAGCGATTTTAAAACCGGTGTAATGTGGTCCCGCCCCCTGGTCTTAGTCAGGACACGTGCTGCTGAGTTTTGGAGTAATTGAAGACTTGCAATGTTCTACTCCAATTTCCCCTTCCACTAAAAGCATGCGCCTCCTGAATACTGGCGACCCCGCTCCCATTTCTGTGTGGAGTGAGAGACAACAATCCACAACAATTGAAATTCTTTGTGACTAGGTTCTGTAAAATCACCTTATAAATCAAATCAATTAATTGTCATGGTCCTCCTGTGTTCTCCCCCTCCCTTTGTGTTTGTGTGTGTGTGTGTGTGTGTCAATCTGGGAGCAGCCTCCACCAGCTGCACTCACTCACCACCTGCAATCTATCCACAACCAAGCTCTCCATATAAACCCGGCTCTTCCACCACTCCCTGCCAGTTCGTCAGTTCACCACCCGTGGTAACGTTGCTCGTGGCTCTTGTTTGATCAAGTCTTGCGATTTTGCTATTGTCTCAGTTTCTTGTTTCTTGTTTTTTGTTACTTGTTCCAGTGCTTTTGGGATATCTTCACTGCCTGTACCTCTGGACCCAGCCCTGATACTTACCTGCACCGATACCTACCCGCACCCAGCCTCTGCACCCAGCCTCTGTACCCCTGGACCCTCTGCACCCCTGGACCCTCTGGACCCAGCCCCCACTGCCCAAACCCCCACTTGCAATAAATTGTTTTCATTTTCTAATGCCTGGTCGTGCGCTTGGGTTCTTTCTGTTCCCGTAACATTAATTCTCACTAAAAATGACATTACAAGTTCTTAACGAAGCAAAGTCAATACAGCAATACAGCAATACAGCAGTCAATACACGGCGGCACGGTGGCTGAGTGGATAGCACTCTCGCCTCTCAGCAAGAAGGTCCTGGGTTCGAATCCCGGTTGGACCAGGGCCTTTCTGAGTGGAGTTTGCATGTTCTCCCCGCGTCTGCGTAGGTTTCCTCCGGGTACTCCGGTTTCCCCTACCACTAAAAATATGTACAATAGGTCTGGCATGTGCCTCCTGTTCTGGCACCCCCACTCCCAAAAAAAAAAATAACAATTGTAAACCGCTTTGAGACTCCGATGTGCAGTGAAAAGGCGGTATATAAATAAAGATCACAAAGATCACAATCATCAGACCTGGGTAAACTGGTGGCTGCGGGTCACATATGTTTCCAGGAAGCCCCCAGACCCTTCCCTTCACTCAATCACCGGCAGAAATATTAGACTGTATAAATTTTTTTTTTTAAACCAATATCTACATAATACAGAAGAGAAAGAAAACACTAGATACTTGGCTCCATGTTTCCACTTCACTCTATACAGCGGAAGAGAAGCCAGACTTAGCTTTAACTAACTATTTAGCAAAAGTCCTTAACAATGAAGTCTCATCTAATCGGTCTAACTGAATTTCTCATGCTCAACAATTCCAGTTTCAATCTTCTCTGCTGCATGTCCTTCTTACATCTGTAGAGAGGAACTTGAGTGACCACAGCTGGCAAATATGCACCAAAGGCTTCACAACACATCATCACTGACTCATCTCATTCAGGAGGGGCACTTTCTTTCTCATAACAGCAGCACGCACTCAAGGAAGCTGCAATCAAAATGCAAGTGTGCGGATTTGATGATGGCCACTTCAGGACTGAGCACTTTTAAAGCAACAAGGAAGATCAAGTTCATGAATGTAAAATGTTTTCCTACGATTGTTGTGGTTATCAAAAGTGAAAGTAGCATTTATGGCACAGTACTTTATTATCTACCTCTGTTAAGCTCTCTGTAATGGACAGAAGGTGGCAGCACAGTAGCATAGATCCCCTCGTCTTGTTTTATGCCTTCACACAGAACTTGACCAATGGATGACTTATACTATTCAAAACATAATAGGCCCTTTAAAATGATCCACAACACAATCTGTAGAGAAAACACAGCAAGCCCCCACATGAGTGTGCTTGAAAGTTAACAAACCCAACTCAGGCTAGGTTATTCTATTTTCAAATAATGACAACAGAAGCTACCGAAATGGCCCTGATTAGACGTATTCATACCCCTGTCCTTAATAGTGTGTATTGCTCCTTTAACAATCTTTTGTGGTGGTTATGGATGAGGTTCTTTCTCTTCTCTGATAGTATAAATGCTCATTCGTCTTGTCAATAAGCCTCCATTTTCTGTGAATTCCCAGGATGAATTGTAAAGTCAAAATGTTTTTTTTTGTGTCCAAAATTAGCATCATACAACAGTGAAATGTTATCATTGAGTGCGTGATCAGTAAACTTGAAAGCATAACTGCACCAAGCATTTGATTAGAAGAAAATATTCTATAACTACAATATGCTTGTAATTCTCTGACCTTCCGTATTTCCCTTCAGTCTGAAACATTCCATAAGGGACATGTGCACTCACCTTCACCCAGAGCCTCCCTGACCTTATCGGCGTCCGCAGATAGGTAGAGATTTGTCTGCCAGGCCTTCAGGTACCCGATGGGACTGGCCCCTCCGGTCATGCAAAACCTTTCAATGAAGAGATCTGGAAAGAGAAAAAAAAGCAACATTCAAATTACCCTGTCTGCAATCTCACACCAATGCATTGCATAGTTTGCTGAGCATTTGTTAAGTGTTGGTGACGAGAAAAGGACTAAGCAGTAACTTGGAAAGGCCACAGTTACTTCAGAACAGCGTCTATTAGCTTAGTATGGATAGGGTTTTGTGGCAACGCAAGCCCGCTCACAGTAATGTATAAAACGCTCTCGTTAAATTTGAAAAAAAAAAATGATAATGGAACGTAACACCTTACCAACAGCTGATAGCTAAACATATAGATGACTGACTGTAGAATACATGGACGTATTGCATGCAGGATAGGATGGCAAATCAAGAAGAATGTTCTTTTCAAACTGAAGGAATGAAGCGGTCGGTCAGCCTGAGGAGGCGCACGTATGTGGCTGGTGTCAAAGTGTCAGTTTCCGTTCTGGCTCCAGGTCCATTTCATTTACTGCACCGTTCTGAACCCTGAAACTCAATCTGTAGGATTATTCTTAAGGCGAAGAGGTGGTGATATTTACAAGTTGTCAAAGATATCACGCGTTCAAACACTAAACGTGAATGATGGTACTAATTTGAGAAATACCTGAGGTGATTAGAGTTGAGGTGATTTCAGGCTTTAGTTCCTGCTTTCCCATCAGCATATTTCATATGAATGTCCTACCTCCTGTTATGGCCTTTGAAAGCTGATAGCTCTAAGTGGACTTTATTGCTTTGACTGGTCCAAGAAAATGTATCATATGCACCAGCCGGGTCACTCTCACTGAATCAAGACTGGAGTACCTAACATTCTTTATTGTGTCATGAATACAATTTGTTTGTCCAACCGGGAAAAGACTACACCATTCTGTCATTATCATATAGAAAACATTTTAACTTTTACATACTGAGAGCTGATTGGCTGAGTGAGAGCTGGTACTCTCTTTCACTGAAAAAGCAGAAGATGCAATAGAGGCTGATGAAATGTATTTGATCAGAGAATCAGAAAAAAATACATGCATATTTTAATATTGGCCATCCGTTGTACAGTAAATTGGTCATTCTAACCAATACACTGTATGTCAATATATGTAAGAAAGACATACAGTATATGCCCCAGGCCTGCATATGTCATTGTAGCATTAGATGTTTGTTTTGTTTTTTGTTTTTTTAAGTATGCCCATGTGATTCAATGAGGAATGAATGTGAAAAAGAAAGTAATCTACAAATGAAATTTCTACCATACCATTGTTCCAAGCTGATGGCACTTCTATAAAGTCTGTAAATAGACCACCATGATCTTCACTTCCAATTGACAGTGGTGTGTGTGCTTTGTTATCCATTTGAGCTGTTGAACAGATTACGATAATTCACTCATGACGATGGAAGGAAAGACAAACTGTTCCCTCTGGCCCCTGGGGACCACATCTATCAAGGAGCGTTGCAGTGGATTCCTCTTTGCGACGAGGCCTGGAGATTGTGATCTCTCCGTCCCACTGCATCGCTTGAGCTAAACATCCAAGAACTTTCGTTGGAATGGAGCGTGGGAGTCTCTTTGGAAACAGCCTCTGTACGAAACAAGTCTTTGTAGTTTCCATGTTTTTTGCACATGCACCAGTGTTGGCTTTCAATCTGAAACCACCGTTTATTTGCTTTTGAAGATCTTAAAGATGGTAATGAAGAAGCAGGAAGTCGCAGGAAAGACACAACAAACTGCTGACTGTAAAATATTAGAATGATAAATACCAGGGTCATATAGAAGGTCAGGCGTTTCAGAACGTCTACTGTGTACCAGTAGAATCATAGAAGCAGTTCCCTCGAGAATTAAACAAGTTCATTAAGTAAAACTGTAAACGGCATCTTCTCACTCAGCTTCAGAGATAAAAAATGTAATAAAACAATATCATTGAATTAACACATTGTTAATGCATTCATCATCCGTAGGAATTCAATAGAATTATTATCATTAAGTTTTCATATGATACTGAATGTAAAAATATATAATTTATATAGATTGGTGGGATTCCACTGTTATTGGAGAAGTCTTTCAAGCAAATATATTGCATCTACTTCTTCCATGTGTGTCCCCAGATAATAGGCCATGTACAAATCATATCTGAGCTTCCCTGAACACAAGTTGGAGCTATTGGTGGTGCTGATGAGAGCATGTAGAGCTCTCAGCATGAAGCATGAAATGGGAAGGTGTGTGTGAGGGGTGAGAGCCAAAGTGTTGTGCTGTATGATAAATATAAGTTTGAAATAAATACTAAATGAAATCAGATACAAAATTATGTAGCCATATATAATACACAGTTTGAACTGTTTATAGCTAAGCTCCAGCAGGTGGATTGCATCTGTATCAGTGCTCAGGAGGTACATGTGTCACTGACAGTAAGATTCTGGCTGTTGTCTCGAACTTATATATATATATATATATATATATATATATATATATATATATATATGCAGTCTAACTTTATTTTCAAAGCGCTATTATGAGCAAGCAAGCAAGCAAAGTTTATTTATATAGCACCTTTCTCAGACAGAAGGTCACAAAGTGCTTCACATCAAAAACAAGCAATAATTAAAAACACAAGAAAAAAATAAAAAATAAAAATTACACAATCAAACAACAGTGGAGACAGTCATATCAGCCCATAAAACCGTACTTTCAAAACCCTCGACTGAACAAGAACGTCTTGAGTTGGGATTTAAATGTATCAACAGAGTCAAGTGATCGTAGAGAGAGCGGGAGATCGTTCCAGAGTCTAGGTGCGACAGCCTGGAAGGATCGGTCTCCTCTGGTTCGATAAAAAGTGCGAGGAACCATCAAGAGATTTTTATCTGCAGACCTCAGAGAACGAGAGGGGACATAGGGCTGAATCAGATCTCTGATGTAAGAAGGCGTCTGACCATATAAGGATCTAAAAGTCAGCACCAAGATTTTAAATTGAAACCGGTAAGACACCGGCAGCCAGTGGAGGGCTTTAAGAATTGGGGTAATATGAGCCCTTCTATTAGTGCAAGTTAAAATCCTCGCTGCAGAGTTTTGAACCATTTGAAGACGAGACAGCTCTTTTTTGTTTAGACACGAAAATAAACTGTTGCAATAGTCTAAACGTAACGACACAAAAGCATGAATAATGAGCTCCAAATCATTACGTGACACAATTTTCCTCAGTTTAGAGATGTTCCTCAACTGAAAGAAACAATTTCTGCTTAGCTGTTTAGAGTGGTGATCTAATGACATGTTTTTGTCAAAAATCACACCAAGGTTCCTGAGACTCTGTGCAGCGGACTGACTGAGATCTCCCAATTACTGGTTTATCCCTGGGATAAGGTCATCAGGAGCAATCACAAGGGTTTCTGTTTTATCAGCATTAAGCTGCAGAGAATTTTTACTCAACCATAGTTTTATATTTTTCAAACAGTTGAAAAAAGAGTTCAGCCTTCCCATCTCAGAAGGCTTAAAAGGACAGTACAACTGGATATCGTCAGCAAACAGGTGATAAGAAACATCAGCGAACTCCTGAATGACCTTTCCCAATGGAATTATATAAAGTAGAAATAGAACCGGACCCAAAACAGAGCCCTGCGGAACACCACAGAATAATTTAGCTGAATCAGACATGATTTGATTTGCTGCAACACTAAAACTCCGACCAGATAAGTAAGAGGAAAACCAATTTAGAACTGGCCCTGACAGTCCAACCAAGCCACTCAATCTGTTTAGCATTATGTGGTGGTCAAGCAGAACAAGAACAGAGCATTTTCCAGAGTCAGCAGACATCATTATGTCACTGGATACTTTCAACAATGCTGTTTCCGTGGAGTGATGTTTTCGGAAACCAGATTGGAAAGTGTCATGAATGTTATGATGATCCAGGTAGCACGACAATTGTTTTGAGACCACCCTCTCTAAGATCTTGGACAGGAAAGGGAGTTTGGAGATAGGTCTGTAATTTTTTGGGTCCGCTTTGTCCAGATTTGTCCTTTTAAGTAATGGCTCTACTATGGCATGAATTGCCATAGGAGTGAATTGACACTGATTCGCTCGTTGCTATTTTCCACAATTGGACGACTTAATGTAAATGATGAAGTCCCTTAATGTAATTAAGCGTACTGTACAGTAGCGACAGGATCATCTGTGACTCCGCAGTCATGGGCCCCACACATACAGACCTGTTTTGTTTGGGGCCCAGAGGAGTTCCAGAGAGGCTGAGGAAGTGGTCTGTGGTGCGACATCACAGCTTCCGCTCACTCAGCTGTTCATACACCGTAATGGTCTTTTCATGTTCTCACAGACACATCATCTATGTCTGGACATGAATGTGACATTTCATTGCACTTGCTCTCAAAACTTTAGATCAGCTTTTTCAGACAGAAAATAGAGGACAACTCTTTCTCAGCCAATCAGCTCTCGGCCCATTCTGTCTTTAGTAGACAGTATTTTTCTAAGTTGTATCAAAATTTGTATTAAAACCCGTAATTGAATTTAAAAGTTGATCTCATTGATTCAGCTGTGTATGAATTCAGGCCATAAAAAGTGCTGAGTAGAGACTTTGCGTGACGCTCGTTCTCCTAGGCCACGCCCCCTCTAGTGTCTGCAGCGCATGTAAACAACAGCAGCATGGTAGGAGAAGGTGGCTATCCTCCTCTGGCTGTAACTGCAGACACTGCATTAAAACAGCCCAAAAGACACAACAGTGGAGAAGAGGGAACTAAAGCGAAAAAATGTCAAAGAAGGAATCAGGCCCTGGTGAACATACAGTAGCTTGTTTACATCATATCTTCTGGAGAGCCCCGCGGGTGCGGGACCGCCGCGGACTATCTATGCTCAGACTACATTTGGACGCGAAACTAGCGGTAATCTTTCAGTTATATATTTTGTTACCAGTGCGTTACTTTGGTCCCATATCATCAGTGATTGCTGCAGCAGCTTATATGAAGTTGTGCAAATGCTAATGCCTACCTGCTTTGTGGCCATCTCACATGCATTTGTCCGTGTCAGTGTTATTATGGGATGCATGGGCGGGTCATTCGGCACATGCATCACATGCGTTAATTTTTTTAACAGGATTAATGAAAAAAAAGTACAAAAATTAATTAGCATGTGTTAACGCAATAATTTTGACAGCCCTAATTTAATCACAAAACAATACACTACAATTATGCAATACACAAGACTAATAATTAACTAAATAATACAACTAATTAAGAGACACTTTATTCATCCCACTTGGGGAAATGTCAGTGTTACATCACTGATTACTGATTAGGAATGAGGAACAACTTTTTTTTTTTTACTATTCAGAAATGGAAAATTTTGCCATAAACCCAGGTCATTCTATTATTGTTTTCAAATGCAAACACAAAAGCATCCGTGCACAAGCATGTGGGACTCACTGTGATGGTTGATGGTGTTGATAAGCCTCACTCCCACATGGGCATGGTTGTACGTCACCAGAACAATGTCAAACAGTTCTTCGCTCTGTGGGTAGAGGTCTCTGAGGCGGGCGTTAACAGTCTCCAGAGCCTGTCAACACAAATGCATTCAGCTGGACACACTACACAACAGACCAGAAACTACAATCGTGTTGTCGCTCACCTTGACGAAGGGAAAAGCCGGCCCCGGTGCAAAAGGCTCATTCTCGTGTTCTATCTGATATCTCAGGTACTCCTCGATCCCCTGCTGCTCAAACACTTTCTGTTCCGTCTCAGTGCGGAACAAGACGCGGCTGGAGACTGCGACGGTGACCGCGTGTTGGGGTCTGGGCTGCGACGGAGCCAAGAATAGAAATACATTACAAATGCTCCAGGGATGACCAAAGCTATAATGATAAAATAATGCAGAAGCGTTATAATGCATGTGCGAACACATCTCAAAGTGCTACAGCAGGTAAAAACACACACCTCTTTACTGTTTTGTCATTATTTATAAACTGGACTGTGAGGTGGACCATTCATTTTTCTACTGAACTGTAAAATATCACACAACAAAGACTAGAATAGTGGTCTCTAACCAATAGCGTTGAATCTACAGTAGTTCACCTCCACTTAGAAGGTTTAAGACTTGGTTAATTGATTATTTTGATAATTGATTGGTTGGACTAATCAACAACTAATCTAATGTTGTTTGGATCACAAAAGGCTTGTAAAAATTGTATCATAGAAATGACAAAAACAGCTAAAATTATGCACCTTGAGGACATCTCAGTATTGTTGAGTCATAGTAACATTGTTTAATACGCATGTTTACGCATGTTCCTAAAAATGATTCCTCTTTAACAAGAATTAGTTTATTTCAATAATCCATCAGTTGGATCTAATTTATCATTGCCGAAATTTAGTGTGCTGAATTTTTTGTGCTGAATTTTTAAACATTTCCATATCCAAATGCCAGGAACTATTTTAGATGCATGCTTTAAAAAAAAATATTATTTTTAATATAGAGAAGTAGCTCTGCCCTAATAAGTGTATGGATAAGGTTGAAAATGTATTTTGGGAAGAAAGCGAAGGTCATTGATGTAGATGTTTCATGGTGTGATGACTGTTTGGACAAGCAATGAGTGCAACACTAATTAAGGTAATCACTAGAATTTACACGTGTGGCTTTGAATATGATGGAAACAGAGAGATGTGCAATTGAGATTCACATTCTCAAAATTCCAGGAGATATTCATAGCAAATAGTAAATGTAAATATAATAATAGATTGACTAAAATCTTAATGAGGCCGCTGTAATAAGCAGTGACTTTTAGAAATGCGCAGTGGCATAGTGACGACTAGAGAAGCTGTCGTCTCAGTGTCCTGTGTGGTGCTGCTGTGTGCTGTGCTGCCTCCTGTTGTGTCCTTTAGAGTCGGACTATTCCCACCGGTGTGAAGTGTTGGAGGAGGGAGGGAGGAGGAGGGGGATCTGGGGAGCATTCCAACCAGGGCACAAGGGCACACACCACTGCCAAACTCTATTGAAGCCTCGGAGGCCCCATTGAGCAAACAGACTCATGTACAGTACAATGACATGCTCCTGAAGTGGGAAGATTACGCATTAGAAAGTCTGTTATAAAGTATCAACAGCAGGAACAGGTGTAACACTTAACACAAGGATGTATTACAAATAGTGTGGCACCAGAAGTCATAAAGGTACGTGGGCAGCACCTCTGGTTCAACATTTACCATCAATATTCAACATCGTGCAAACCTTAAAGTGTATAAACTATGACTCATAATTTTGTTATTTTTACAGTGTGTGCAGAATCCTGCCATCGTCACCACAAATAGAATGATAATAGCACTGTAGCATGATACTAAAATATATTTGATTGTCACCCAGAGTTTTGACCCGATGCCTCACGTTACTTGGACATGGACATGTTTCTATTTAACATGTCCAGTGACAAGGGCCAAGGCCTTATAATGTTACTGTCGCAATAACAAAGAAGAGCTTTCCAAAAGCCCAGGGGGGCGCCAAAGGAACCATTAGACCTAACGGCATGCCTATACCAATCATCAAGTGTTAACTCCTCTTACTTAGCTTAAGAGTGAAGCTAGTTACTGATAAGATAATCTTATACATATGATAGATGAGTTGGCTTTGGTTTGCTGGGTGTTTACATTTAGATTGAGTTCCTTGAACTTCTCTTTGCGCTTTTCTCCACATGCTGTCGTCTGTCTGATTGGCCGATGAACTGTAAACTGTACAATTATGTTTCAAGTCAAATTAAATAGTTGTTGACTGGTAAATCAATTTAAACCAAATAATAAATGATTAATGAACTCAACAATAATTAGTGAAACAAATGAAGGCCCTATGGGTTATCAGCATCATTGTTCAACACACTTACTTCATGCAGTGGTCATACAAAAAAAATACAATTTGAATATTTGAACAGAAAAATGGAAGGGAGTAACAGACTGTCATGAACAACCATGCTGATTCTCAACAATATAAAAGCTCACACATGCAGATAGCAGTCAACACAACAAGTCATTGATTCAAGTCTAAGAACTTGAAATCTTCCTACTTTCAGAATCGATAGTTTGCCACAAAGTTTAAAAAGTTTTTGATGCTACGATATTTGGATAGGTACATATATAGAGTGGGTTGTATGTTCCACTGACTTCGGTCAACTGTGTGGTTGTCCCCAAAGCTCCATGATTGTCCCCACTGTCCAATCATGGACTCTACATCTTTGCATTCTGACATGAATCCTAGTTCTGTGGAAGTGGAAATACACTGTAAAATCAAATGGAGACATTCCATGAGTCAAAAATGGCTTTACAGCATGGTTCAAAAGACAGCTCTTGGCTCAACTGTATGCATGCTTATGCTGAGGAGAGTGAAACCAGACCTGTTTAGGCCATGGATGTATTTTATTATCTGAATAGGGTATTGAAAACTTTAGCCAGTCTCCCACCGCACTACTGCAAACTAAATTCACCAGGGCTTCCAAAGAAATATCCCCATAGACCTCAATTTTACAAAAAACACTTTTCTCAAAGGTTGGGTTTAGTGGGGATTTTAGTGTCCCTTGTCAACCTTTTTCTATAAATCTGCACATTTGCTCAACAAACTGAGCACCATAACCCTCTACAGTCATTGCTGATTGGTCAGAACGCTCATGTGCACCTACTGTGCAAGACTGTGAGGACCAGAGGTGACCAAAAGGCAGTAGCGCATGTTCTGAGCCCGTCATTTGCCAGGTGGCCCTGAAAACCGGTTCTTCTAAGCATGCACAGTAGTGCTACCTCCTGAAGGATTCTTGAGGTCAATGAGGAAAGTAACGTAATCTCTCAGACCACAGGGCTTTTAGCCAGAATATTATCGTATCCACAAATATTATCATTGTAACAATATATGGTATCATATTACGATGCAAGTCTGTTAGTGCAGGACATGTGTGATCATGCAGGTGAATGTGCAGCCACCAGGGGGAGTGATGGGGCATAGACAAAAGGACCTCACTTGACAGCAAACACAGACATACTTACGAAGAACACTCCTCCCTCCACCTTCCGTGCCCGCCGGCCTGTCACCTTAACGCAACAACATTGGGGTTTTATTGTTTCTTTTGTTATTTGACCAAAACTTTAAAAACCATGCAGCCGAAACATGAAAACAAGGTAATACACATGTTCACAAGACAAAAAATAATAATAGACAACATTTTTGAACCTTAAACCTTTCTGAAATCTTAACAATCTAAACAATCTCTGCATGAACCTGCTTAAGAGAAGTTGCACAGTGGTGGTTCATAAAAGAATAAAACTTAAGCTTGGGAAGAAGTTACTATGGCTTAGTTTTCCGAAGTGCAAGACCTTTACTGCAGCTTAGAGTCAGTTTACTCCATGAATAACACAGGCTGGAGGTGATCCCAGTTCAGGAGTCTGGTTATGTGTATACTGTCACTATAGAGTCATCTGTCAGGACCACTGGTGCTTCTCTCTTTTCAGTACTTTCTGTTTACCTACTGTATACACAATGCAGTCATTTGAACCAATACATGTTTGGTTGTGTAATATATAGTACTTCTGAACAGTAAAATCGTGTTCACAGTACTGCACTTGTCTACCAGGGAGGGATGTTAACAGTGGTCATACAGGAGCTCAACAGACTTCCTCCAGTCTGAACGTCACTAGTTGTGGTAGATATTTATAGAATAGAGTAGAAAAAATGGTGCATGTTTAGGTGGATAGAGTAACACAACAACTGAACTTTAAATACTAAGCTAAGCTGTGGTCAGTGCTTTGGTGAAAGGAATACATATTATGTTTATGTCTTTTTATTTAGACAGGAAAGTTTTTCAGGAGAGTCCTGGTCCCAAGAGTGGGGTTGGGAAGGGTGTTATGGGGGACTACATGGTTTGGTAGGGGGAACTCGAGCACCAGGAGGAAACCGGAGCAGACCTGGGGAGAACATGCAAATTCAACATAGAAAGGCCTAGAGGTGGAATTAAACCCAGTATTACCCATATTGCTGTGAGCCATATGCGCTAATCACTGCTTCTCTGTGCCACCCAGGGACGGAGATGAGCTCCGATGGGCTCAAATGTCTGCTTAAGGGACATTTTGTTTCTCATCCAGAATCTCATCTGACAGACCATCATGTGTCAGTTTTTATCTTCCACTGAAAGCCTGCATAGTGTCGGAAAACACAATTGTGCTCAGACTCTAAATCTGAGTCAATCACATTCTCATTATGATTTCACAACAGAACTGTTTATATAAATCCTGCAATCATCCTGCCTACACAGCCCTTTGTGCCTCAGGCTGACAGTATTATGTTATTATGTAATAATAAACGCTACTGTTTATTTCACTTGCATTAGAGCAATAACAGTTTGATGGGGTACTTTTAAACTATTTGACAATTTATGTTTGTTTTTTTTAATCTGTGTTTTGCTCTGCCATATTGTCAGCACCATTCTGGAAAAATATGCATCAATATAAGTCGATTATACGTGAAACTCCAGAATACTGTTCCAAACTCTTCTGTAATTCAACTTGCAATGTGGAACTAATGTATATAACACTGATTAAACATAAAGTTAGACATATCAAGCGTTATTTATTTAGTTATAATGTTGGTAATTGGCTCACAGCTTGTAAAAACCCCAAAACTTAAAATTAATCATCAAAATTATAAAATGCAAATGCTTGGAACGTGTCACACAGACATAAAGAAACTTTTGAATGAAATTTAAATTTTCTGAGTTTCACCTGTGGTAAAGCCTCTGGTCTGATCCATATTCTGTTTCCCTGATTCCTGTGGAATGTGATTGACAAGTGGCAGTCTCTTGTTGTATTCAATACAAATACAATAAACCCCACTTGGGTGGAGAGAGTACATGCCAACTTTGATTAAACTCCAACATTGTATTGTATATTAGCCTTTTGGATTGTCCTTACAGTCATCAGGGTAAATCGAGTATATGTTATAACAAATTAGAGAATAGGTTATGGTCCCATTAAAACTTCTTTGATGATGGAGCCTGCAGCTCTGATCCCCTTTGTCCATCTTTAGTGTATAAATCATGTGGAAAAATACTTACAGACTTGGACTTGCTGCTGTTGAGACACTCCTGACTTCCAAACTCTTGTTTCTCCTCCCATGATGCCTTGCTGTCCCCGTTAGACGACGATGCCACTTTCAGCTCCTGGACTTGAACGCTGGCCACCTGTACCGGGTCTAAACTCATCTTCACCATAGAGAACCACTGCAACTGCCCTCTCCTCTGGTCATTCAACGCAACACCTGCTCTCTGCAAATGCCCATGCCTTAGGTTTGCAAGCAAAAGCAGATCCAAACATACAACTTCTACTCACTGGACCATACAATAAAGGCTTAAACACTGCTGCTGTTCCTCCAAATGTGTCCCTGCTGACTGCCCAGGGTGTACTGCGATGCAGTGTCGGAACAGTCCATCCTTTTAGCGCTTAGTGTCCATCTGCCACTGGCTCTTTTGCCTCAGTGCATGCCCCCCTCTGCTTCCACCCAATGTCCCATAGAAAAGCACCCTGGCCCACATCCAGCAGCCTGCAAGCCCCTCCTCATGTCCCACCCCCAACCAATAGGAGAGCTACTTCCTTATCCAGCCGGACACACCCCCTCCGCTCTGCCCTGTGACTGACTGCCAGTGGTGTAGAGGCTCACGGGACGTTGAAGCACTTGCTGCAAAAATAGCCATCACACAGAGACATTTAATCCATGTACAAGCAAGTCTGATCGGGTTACTCTTACAAGAAAAACAAATCATGCAGTGACTTAATTATTTTTCATCATGAGCTTTGACAGATATGAATGTCCTGTGCATATGTGTGTTAATGCCTTTACAGGGCGACAAAATCCATGTAAATACTGTGCATTTCTATAGAAGCCCAACCTCTCTGCCATTTTTGACATAATCAATCAATCCTGAGAGAAGCTGTATTGCCTTGTCTCCCTTGGTCCTTGAATTACTTTTTATGACTTGAACCCAACAGGGCAAAGCAGAGGATTCTCTTGGCAGGGAAATTAAAAGTCGCAAAAACATCATCATGGTTATGTTCGGAGATTGCAGAGATGCTAATGTTTTCCTCTCGGCTTTATTTGATGTCTGATCTGACCCTCTTCCTTTGGATGCACACCCACCTCTGCCGGAATTGAAACGCAGGTGGACATAAGACCACAATGATACAATATGTATTGTATCAGTCTTTGCTCAGCAACATTTGACATTCTTGGCCACCGCTTCGTTGACACTATTGTAAAGGATGGTGTCAAACCCAACAGGTCCAACCAAGTCTTGGAGAACAGCAGCAGCACTTGTTAGCTTTAGTTCTTCCTCCTCTGTCTCTGCGTCTCCTCTGTCCAAACTTTTTGTTGTGGAAGTGTCTTAAAACTGTCAGACTGAACAATGAGAACTGCTGGACATGTGCCTTGTACCTGTTTTGATAATGCACTATTCACTTTACCTGCTGCTATTACTACTATTGTTTATCTGGTTATATTCTCTGCTGTTAAAGTACAGTACACTCCATCTGTAAATTTGAAATCTAATGGACCTAATAAACCTTGTACATTTTGAAGATTCAAGCCATAACAATGTTACTATAATTGTGTTGAAAAGTAATCATGAGCTTTTCTTCCAAGAGTGTTCTGTATTTGTTATAGTTTTCAGCCTTACCATACGATGTATATGGCCACTCCTTGGTACCCCAGCTTTAATGCAACCGTACATGCAAACTCACTGCATATTATGTTGCAGTTGCCGCTGTATAATTTAAGTTAATCAAATTAATTCAATAGAAATAATAAAGTGTTGAATACAAATCCAAGTCTGACCTTTTGAGTGCTTGTTGGAGCGTTTGTGCTTTAATTATGTGAAATATGCATTTAGAATACCGCTGTGGTGCAGCGTGGCTTCCTGGGTACAGAGGTATCAGTGTTGGGGGTTAATTAGCCTCAAGGTAATGGCTAATGGATGTCACACTCATTAAACCAAGGTTGGACTCCAAAATGTGCAGAGAGCCACTAATGCTCTCTCTAATGACACTGACTCCAAGGGCAACTACGCACGTTTACCTTACCTTACTTTGTATCTGTTTAACTCTAGATGCATACGCAATATCTCTTGTGTAAAAATCCCCAGGTTTGAGATTTACGACACAAGGATTAATAGTAAGATAAAACATTTTTTTCTCCGATTGAGTCTTTATTGCAATCTTATGATTATACTATCTGTAAACTTTCCTGTTATTGTATTATACTCAAGGTAATCTCTAACGCACTAATCTACAGGACTTTGTGTAACTTTTTATTTCTCTGTAACAAAGGTTGAGTTCACCAATTGATTACATTGTTCATGTATTTGGTATTAATTAGTTTTACTATTAATACTGTGTGTGGAGTGTTCAGCAGGTTACAGAAAGGAAATCCATCAGTGACTCTTATTGTTATTATTACACGGCTCCTGGGGCGGCAGTGTCTCAGTTGGGAGAGCATTGGCCTTTGAGCCTGAAGGTCCTGGGTTCGAGCCCACCAAGAGACCTTCTCCACTGACTCCCACTGTTGTTGTGTTCTTGGGCAAGACACTTAACCCCACTTTGCCTTCAGCCCCTGTTGAAAGATCAAGGCTCCTGTGGACTCACCACCTGCAGGTTCTGGTGCTATGTGCACTGGGTGCAGCTCTGACTGCCACCCCCAGTGCCTGTATGCGCGCCTGTATGCGCGCCTGTGTGCGTGTGTCAGCGTGCCAGTGTGTCTGCGTGTGTGTGCGTGCCTGTGTGTGCCAGTGTGGGTCTGCGTGCCTGTGTGTGTGTGCGTGCCTGTGTGCGTGTGTGCGTGCCTGTGTGTGTGTGCGTGCGGGGTGCATGCGTGTTTATTTTCCATTATTAATTGCCCATCGTATCATCGCCCTCTTCCCTTTAGTCTAAACATTAAAAGAAAAGGAGGAAACATTGCCTACAGGCCTTTTTTTGTTAGGAAAAGGCTTGTAGATCAGCCTGAAGGTCAGACTCTGAGGCAGTATGTTTTAAGATGATGAGGAATTTGTTGTGTTGTATTAAAATATAGCTTATATAATTGAGTTTCAGAGAATGAGAGGGTGTCGCAGACAGGTGCAGGATCGTCTGTTGGCAGAAGGCGTTTTTTCACACACAAAAAAAGAAACAAAATAGCTAAGATTATGGATGATGTGCAGTTGCTTAACCCCAAAACGGGGAACGTTTGGAAAGTGTTTCATGAGCTTTTTTTTGAGGCTTGCAAAGATCTTTTTAATACCTGTCAGTACTGCGTCTTGTGAAATAAGTTTCTCTGTCCTAAAACTTATTAAAAACCATCTCAGAACTATGGCAGATGATTGAGTCATCTTGGTATCCTCAGTGTAGGGTAAAGGAGGGCTCAGGGCTGAATATGGATGAGTTTGTCAACATCTTTGCTGCTTTACACCAGAACCGTAGGAATTTGCTAAATTTGTTAAAAGAAAAAATGTAATGCAATGTTTGAATGATGTTATTTTGCACTTTTTTTGTTCAGACTACTATTTAAATACACTTTTTTTTTTTTGCTTTGTAGTTTCCAAGTGCATGGGGCGACAGTAGCTCAGTTGGTAGAGCATTGGCCTTATGGCCAGAAGGTTGTGGGTTCAATTCCCACCTCTGCACCTTCTCCACCGACTCCCACTGATGACTGCTGTCGTTGTGTCCTTGGGCAAGACACTTAACCCCACTTTGCCATAAGCCCCCACTGAAAGATCAAGGCTATGCTCACACTCAGAGAGCAGCCGTCCTCCTGTGGACTCACCACCTGCAGAGGGTCAGTGAGGGGCTGGTGCTATGAGACTTGGGTGGCATCTCTGATTGCCACCCCCCTGACCCAGAAATGGATTAAAGGGTAGAAGATGGATGGATGGATGGATGGAGTTTCCAAGTGTGCTCTCAGTTCACTTTATATTAAAAATAATGACAAGATTAAGATTAAAATGTATCGTTTAGCCAGTTTTTGTGCGAAATAAAATTTCGGAATAGTATAAATGTGGACCCCTCAAAAAAACCCTTGCCACCCCCTGGCCACCCTCTGTTTAAGAGTCTGGCTCCGCCACTGCCCGTGACCCGGACGGTCCGGGACACATGTCTTCCGTTTGTGCACACGTCGCGCCTCCTCCTCGCCTCCAGAGCAACAGCAGCAGCAGCAGCACGTGACCCGTTCCGTTCTCTGCAGTGATTGGCTGTCTTCTTCAGCGCCAAACTGAAGCACTGAGCGACTGTTTAATTTTTAAAAGTTAGCCAGCGTGAAGCAAGTGTTTTTTTTCGTTCCCTGAGCGTTGTAGCACGTGAGTAATCAGAGGAAAGTACTGTAGATCCATTACCATTCAAAGTACTTACGTTATTTCTAATCTGTCAGCGCACTGTTTAATGTTCCGAGGAGCTCACACGGCACAGAGACAGAACAGAACTGGCTCCAATAAAGAAACAGGTTGGTTGAAAGGCTGAAAAAATACTTATTGTGCTCTTACTATCCAAAATGTATAAGTGGGTGTGTTGTGTGAATCAGGATAAACTAGGGATGAAAATATTCCACGGATCCACGATTTACAACCTTTATCTGCTGATAATGTAATTTCTGTGAAATGTGTGACAGCGGGCACTTGCTGTTATTTGCTCTAAGCACATTCAAGCGATGCACTCGAATGTGCACGTCCTGGTGCAGCTGCTGCCGCTTTGTAATGACAGCCGCGGCGCTCAGTGAAAGCACAGCTCTAACATGGTACCGAGCTCGGACCATATGCAGACAGAACCATGTTGCAAGTGCGGGTCTCCCTCGTATCTCCCCCGTTTCTCCCCTGTGTCTCTGACATGTCTCTCCCCTGACTCTTCCCAAAGCGCAACCAGCGCTTCCGAAATTAAAGCTCGGATACCTAAATTTTCCATTGCGTTAACGATGCATGCTGGTTGTGCGCAAAACACACCACAACAGGTCATTTAAGTTTTTATTTTGCATACTTGAGAGCCCTGTGAGTCATTACTTGCCTTTTTGGGTTGAGAGTGGAATAAAAAAAAAGAAAATATAGAAAAATCCACACTGTTACTTATTGCCAAACTCTTGTTAACTCATTGTATTGAGAAATACTATGTAACTTTTGACATTGGCCAAGTTATATAAATGATTCTGCAGTTCATGTATATGAATGTCTGTTTTTGATTGTCTATACCTTCTTATATAATTTAG